ACTAGCGAGGCACTTGTTACTACTAGCGAGGCACTTGTTACTACTAGTCTATTCTGTGTGGATCTTGAAATGGGTCGTCAACTTAGTGAGTTGCCATTCAGTTCACAACATGTCAGTCTCATTCCAAGCTGCGCGCTTCCTGGCTGATCTTGTGACCGGTTTCCAAAATCCGTTTTCACTCTGCGTCAACCAATTCATTCGAGGCAGAGCGTCTCACCCCGCTTCAACACTCTCCAGTCATGACAGGTGCAACAAGCACTAGAATTACAAACAGAAACATCATCCAGTACCTAGTCTTAGTGGTGAAAGCCGGGGCAATACCCGACAACCCCAGGTCACCTAAGTGAAAATCTAGACGTGAATCAACGAACCACATGAAAAGCGATGAGTTGTCCTGCGTCCGTTCGCTAGCAGGCACCTAGTAGTTTGCTTGGTGCCTGGCCGCCTATTTAAGGAGTAAGGGCAAGTAGCGGGCTCTGAAAAGACCAAGCAAACCCACGACGTCAGCAGCGTCTTCCGGTGACGGCCTCTCCCAAGTGACGCAACGGAGTGAAGACCTGAGGAGGAACGTCTCTCGAGAACGTCGTGAACGAGGAACGTCGAGTCTCAAATCGACTTGAGAAAACACGTTCCTCGACGTAGGAAGAAAGGGAGGAAGTCATCTCGACTGTTTTCAGGACCACCATGTGGCTGGTTCTTCAGATCTCTAGGACCCTGGAGATGCAAATAGTAACAAGTGCCTTACTAGTAGTAACAAGTGCCTCGCTAGTAGTAACAAGTGCCTCGCTAGTAGTAACAAGTGCCTCGCTAGTAGTAACAAGTGCCTTACTAGTAGTAACAAAAAGAATTTAATTAGAATTGTAATTAGTAGCTTCTTGTTACTACCAGTAAGGTACTTGTTACTACTTCAGTTTCCATGTGGCTGGTTCTTCAGATCTCTAGGACCCTGGAGATGCAAGTTGTCTAAAAACCAGTTGTGACCGGTAAGCCTTCAGGCCGCCCATGGAGATGCTTCGACAAGAGCTGCCGGCCCGACGACCCGACGATTGGAAGCGTCCTTGGTATCCTAACCTGAAAGCGAACCTGTTACTAGTAGCGTGGCACTTGTTTCTACTAGCGTCCTTGTTACTACTAGTAAGG